AAGGTAAGTTTATCAGAGACCAGAGAAACCAGAGGGAGACCAGAGAAAAACCAGAGAGAGACCAGAGAAAAACCAGAGAGAAAAAACAGAGAGAGAAACCAGAGAGAGAGACCAGAGAGAGAAACCAGAGAGAGACCAGAGAGAAAAACCAGAGAGAGAAACCAGAGAGAGACCAGAGAGAAAAACCAGAGAGAGAAACCAGAGAGACCAGAGAGAAAAACCAGAGAGAGACCAGAGAGAGAAACCAGAGAGAGAGACCAGAGAGAGAGACCAGAGAGAGAAACCAGAGAGAGAGACCAGAGAAACCAGAGAGAGAGACCAGAGAGAGAGACCAGAGAGAGACCAGAGAGAGAGACCAGAGAGGGACCAGAGACCAGAGAGAGATACCAGAGAGATACCAGAGAGAGACACCAGAGAGAGAGACCAGAGAGAGACCAGAGATAAACCAGAGAGAGACCAGAGATCAGAGAGAGAACAGAGAGAGAGACCAGAGAGAGAGACCAGGGAGAGAGACCAGAGGGAGACCAGAGAGAGACCAGAGAGAGAGACCAGAGAGAAAAACCAGAGAGAGACCAGAGAGAAAAACCAGAGAGAGAAACCAGAGAGAGAGACCAGAGAGAGAAACCAGAGAGAGAGACCAGAGAGAGAAACCAGAGAGAGAGACCAGAGAGAGACCAGAGACCAGAGAGAGACTGTAAAGATGTTATGAATAAAATCCCAAACCAGTTTTTATCAGATTTATTTTGTATGTAAAAAAAAAAAAAAAGGAACAAAAACACATTTAAGTTGAAAAAGTATCCGCCTCTTTGGACTGAGAGCTGATTGGCTGAGAGAGGGTGGTCCCCTCATTGATCTACTACAGAGTTCTATTGTCTGAGAGTTACAGACCCAAGCTTTAAAAGTTACATTTCACTTCAGCCAATCTGCCGCCCATGCTGCCACCTGCTGGTGAAGATGGAGAAACACACTGAGTCTGTGAGTCTGGTTCACAGTGAAAAACAGAATAAATGAACCATTCTCATTGTACCGGTGGACCAGGTGAGACCAGCTGAGACCAGGTCCACAGAGAGATACCAGGTGAGACCAGGTCCACAGAGAGAGACCAGCTGAGACCAGGTCCACAGAGAGAGACCAGCTGAGACTAGCGAGAAACCACGTGAGACCAGGTCCACCACAGAAAGATACCAGGTGAGACCAGAGGGAAACCAGGTGAGACCAGGTCCACAGGGGTCAGAGGTCCACGATGAGGAGAACGGGTGAAAAACATGATGTCGACGCAGAGAAAAGTCTCAATTTGAGTAATCCTGAAAAACATGAAAGGCAGAGGATTCAGACCAGAGAGAGAGACCAGGGAGAGGCACCAGAGAGAGGCACCAGAGAGAGGCCAGAGAGAGAGACCAGAGAGAGGCACCAGAGAGAGGCCAGAGAGAGGCCAGAGAGAGAGACCAGAGAGAGACCAGAGATAAACCAGAGATAAACCAGAGATAAACCAGAGAGAGACCAGAGATCAGAGAGAGACCAGAGAGAGAGACCAGAGAGAGGGACCAGGGAGAGAGACCAGGGAGAGAGACCAGGGAGAGAGACCAGGGAGAGACACCAGAGAGACACCAGGGAGAGAGACCAGAGAGACACCAGGGAGAGAGACCAGAGAGAGACCAGAGAGAGACCAGAGAGAGACCAGAGAGAGACCAGGGAGAGACCAGAGAGAGACCAGGGAGAGACCAGAGAGAGACCAGGGAGAGACCAGAGAGAGACCAGAGAGAGACCAGAGAGAGACCAGAGAGAGACCAGAGAGAGACCAGGGAGAGACCAGAGAGAGAGACCAGAGAGAGAGACCAGAGAGATACCAGAGATAAACCAGAGATAAACCAGAGAGAGACCAGAGATCAGAGAGAGACCAGAGAGATACCAGAGATAAACCAGAGATAAACCAGAGAGAGACCAGAGATCAGAGAGAGACCAGAGAGAGAGACCAGAGAGAGGGACCAGGGAGAGAGACCAGGGAGAGAGACCAGGGAGAGAGACCAGAGAGAGACCAGAGAGAGACCAGAGAGAGACCAGAGAGAGACCAGAGAGAGAGACCAGAGAGAGAGACCAGAGAGAGACCAGGGAGAGAGACCAGAGAGAGAGACCAGAGAGAGAGACCAGAGAGAGAGACCAGAGAGAGAGACCAGAGAGAGACCAGAGAGAGACCAGAGAGAGAGACCAGAGAGAGAGACCAGAGAGAGAGACCAGAGAGAGAGACCAGAGAGAGACCAGAGAGAGACCAGAGAGAGACCAGAGAGAGACCAGAGAGAGACCAGAGAGAGACCAGGGGAGACCAGGGAGAGAGACCAGAGGGAGACCAGAGGGAGACCAGAGGGAGACCAGAGATCAGCACTTACCGCTCGGGGCTTCTTGTTCACCTTCATGTCAAACCTGTAACAGATCAAACAGTTTTGTTTCAGTGAAATCAAAAGATTCTGATGAAACTCAGACACACATGGTTCAAGCACAGACACCATGAAGCCGCAGACACCATGGAGCCGCAGACACCATGGAGCCGCAGACACCATGAAACCGCAGACACCATGAAGCCGCAGACACCATGGATCCGCAGACACCATGAAGCCGCAGACACCATGAAACCGCAGACACCATGAAGCCGCAGACACCATGGAGCCGCAGACACCATGGAGCCGCAGACACCATGAAGCCGCAGACACCATGAAGCCGCAGACACCATGAAGCCGCAGACACCATGGAGCCGCAGACACCATGGAGCCGCAGACACCATGAAGCCGCAGACACCATGGTGCCGCAGACACCATGGTGCCGCAGACACCATGGAGCCGGACTCACTGGTGTCAAAATGGTTGAAATAAAAAACGTTTGCCTCGACCATGAAACATGCAACAAAGAAACTAGAAAAACCATGAGTCACACCAGAAAAATCAGACTTACTCAAAGTCATAGTCAAACAGAGCAGACGGGCTGTAGGAGAGACACCATGTTAGACCAGGACCAGGAGAGACACCATGTTAGACCAGGACCAGGAGAGACACCATGTTAGACCAGGAGAGACACCATGTTAGACCAGGACCAGGAGAGACACCATGTTAGACCAGGAGAGAGACCATGTTAGACCAGGACCAGGAGAGAGACCATGTTAGACCAGGACCAGGAGAGACACCATGTTAGACCAGGAGAGAGACCATGTTAGACCAGGACCAGGAGAGAGACCATGTTAGACCAGGACCAGGAGAGACACCATGTTAGACCAGGAGAGAGACCATGTTAGACCAGGAGAGAGACCATGTTAGACCAGGAGAGACACCATGTTAGACCAGGAGAGACACCATGTTAGACCAGGAGAGACACCATGTTAGACCAGGAGAGACACAATGTTAGACCAGGAGAGACACAATGTTAGACCAGGAGAGACACAATGTTAGACCAGGAGAGAGACCATGTTAGACCAGGAGAGACACCATGTTAGACCAGGAGAGACACAATGTTAGACCAGGAGAGACACAATGTTAGACCAGGAGAGAGACCATGTTAGACAGGACCAGGAGAGACACCATGTTAGACCAGGAGAGAGACCATGGTAGACCAGGAGAGAGACCAGAGGAGAGACCATGTTAGACCAGGAGAGAGACCATGTTAGACCAAGAGAGAGACCATGTTAGACCAAGAGAGAAACCATGTTAGACCAAGAGAGAAACCATGTTAGACCAAGAGAGAAACCATGTTAGACCAGGAGAGAGACCATGTTAGACCAGGAGAGAGACCATGTTAGACCAGGAGAGAGACCATGTTAGACCAAGAGAAAAACCATGTTAGACCAGGAGAGAGACCATGTTAGACCAGGAGAGAGACCATGTTAGACCAGGAGAGAGACCAAATGAGAGAGACCATGTTAGACCAGGAGAGAGACCAGAGGAGAGACCATGTTAGACCAGGAGAGAGACCATGTTAGACCAAGAGAGAGCATGTTAGACCAAGAGAGAAACCATGTTAGACCAAGAGAGAAACCATGTTAGACCAGGAGAGAGACCATGTTAGACCAGGACCAGGAGAGAGACCATGTTAGACCAGGACCAGGAGAGACACCATGTTAGACCAGGAGAGAGACCATGTTAGACCAGGAGAGAGACCATGTTAGACCAGGAGAGAGACCATGTTAGACCAGGAGAGAGACCATGTTAGACCAAGAGAGACCATGTTAGACCAAGAGAGACCATGTTAGACCAGGAGAGAGACCATGTTAGACCAAGAGAGAAACCATGTTAGACCAGGAGAGAGACCATGTTAGACCAAGAGAAAAACCATGTTAGACCAGGAGAGAGACCATGTTAGACCAGAGGAGAGACCATGTTAGACCAGGAGACCAGAGGAGAGACCATGTTAGACCAGGAGAGAGACCAGAGGAGAGACCATGTTAGACCAGGAGAGAGACCAGAGGAGAGACCATGTTAGACCAGGAGAGAGACCATGTTAGACCAAAGGAGAGACACCAGAGAGAGGGACCACTGTTGAGACCACCCTAGACTAGACTTGTGTGTGTGTATCTAGTACGTGTGTGGCATCTGGTACTTGTGTGTGTGTATCTAGTACTTGTGTGTGTGCGCATCTGGTACCTGTGTGTGTGTGTGTGTATCTAGTACCTGTGTGTGTGTGTTCTGGTACCTACCTGTGTGTGTGTGTATCTGGTACCTGTGTGTGTGTGTGTGTGTATCTGGTACCTTGTGTGTGTGTGTGTGTGTGTGTGTATCTGGTACCTGTGTGTGTGTGTACGTGTGTGTGTGTGTGTGTGTGTGTGTGTATCTGGTACCTGTGTGTGTGTGTGTGTACGTGTGTGTGTGTGTATGTGTGTACCTGGTACCTGTGTGTGTGTGTGTATGTGTGTGTGTGTGTGTATCTGGTACCTGTGTGTGTGTGTGTGTATGTGTGTGTGTGTGTACGTGTGTGTGTGTGTGTGTGTGTGTACCTGGTACCTGTGTGTGTGTGTATGTGTGTATCTGGTACCTGTGTGTGTGTGTATGTGTGTGTGTGTGTACGTGTGTGTGTGTGTGTTTGTACCTGGTACCTGTGTGTGTGTGTATCTGGTACCTGTGTGTGTGTGTATCTAGTACCTGTGTGTGTGTACGTGTGTGTGTGTGTGTATCTGGTACCTGTGTGTGTGTACCTGGTACCTGTGTCGGTTCTTGTTCTTCCTCTTCTTATGGTTGTTGTGGTCCCTCCCTGACCCGGAGGATGCAGATGCCTTCTGGGGCTTCAGGTCCTGCAGGGCCTGCTCCAGGTGCTCCGGGTCGTCCTGACTCGGCTCATTCTCCTGGTTCTGCAGGTCTGGAGACGCATCACTCTCTGTGCCACTGCCTGCCTCCCCTGGACCAGAGCGAGACCAAAGGTAAGACCAGAGCGAGACCAAAGGTAAGACCAGAGCGAGACCAAAGGTAAGACCAGAGGGAGAGCAGAGAGAGAGCAGAGAGAGCGAGACCAGAGAGAGAGACCAGAGAGAGCGAGACCAGAGAGAGAGCAGAGAGAGACCAGAGACCAGGAGAGAGAGCGAGACCAGAGAGAGCGACCAGAGAGAGCGAGACCAGAGTGGCCTGTATCTGAATCTCCATCTATCACTGACCTGAGCCAACAGAGCATTATGGCCTGTATCTGAATCTCCATCTATCACTGACCTGAGCCAACAGAGCATTATGGCCTGTATCTGAATCTCCATCTATCACTGACCTGAGCCAACAGAGCATTATGGCCTGTATCTGAATCTCCATCTATCACTGACCTGAGCCAACAGAGCATTATGGCCTGTATCTGAATCTCCATCTATCACTGACCTGAGCCAACAGAGCATTATGGCCTGTATCTGAATCTCCATCTATCACTGACCTGAGCCAACAGAGCATTATGGCCTGTATCTGAATCTCCATCTATCACTGACCTGAGCCAACAGAGCATTATGGCCTGTATCTGAATCTCCATCTATCACTGACCTGAGCCAACAGAGCATTATGGCCTGTATCTGAATCTCCATCTATCACTGACCTGAGCCAACAGAGCATTATGGCCTGTATCTGAATCTCCATCTATCACTGACCTGAGCCAACAGAGCATTATGGCCTGTATCTGAATCTCCATCTATCACTGACCTGAGCCAACAGAGCATTATGGCCTGTATCTGAATCTCCATCTATCACTGACCTGAGCCAACAGAGCATTATGGCCTGTATCTGAATCTCCATCTATCACTGACCTGAGCCAACAGAGCATTATGGCCTGTATCTGAATCTCCATCTATCACTGACCTGAGCCAACAGAGCATTATGGTCTGTATCTGAATCTCCATCTATCACTGACCTGAGCCAACAGAGCATTATGGCCTGTATCTGAATCTCCATCTATCACTGACCTGAGCCAACAGAGCATTATGGCCTGTATCTGAATCTCCATCTATCACTGACCTGAGCCAACAGAGCATTATGGCCTGTATCTGAATCTCCATCTATCACTGACCTGAGCCAACAGAGCATTATGGCCTGTATCTGAATCTCCATCTATCACTGACCTGAGCCAACAGAGCATTATGGCCTGTATCTGAATCTCCATCTATCACTGACCTGAGCCAACAGAGCATTATGGCCTGTATCTGAATCTCCATCTATCACTGACCTGAGCCAACAGAGCATTATGGCCTGTATCTGAATCTCCATCTATCACTGACCTGAGCCAACAGAGCATTATGGCCTGTATCTGAATCTCCATCTATCACTGACCTGAGCCAACAGAGCATTATGGCCTGTATCTGAATCTCCATCTATCACTGACCTGAGCCAACAGAGCATTATGGCCTGTATCTGAATCTCCATCTATCACTGACCTGAGCCAACAGAGCATTATGGCCTGTATCTGAATCTCCATCTATCACTGACCTGAGCCAACAGAGCATTATGGCCTGTATCTGAATCTCCATCTATCACTGACCTGAGCCAACAGAGCATTATGGCCTGTATCTGAATCTCCATCTATCACTGACCTGAGCCAACAGAGCATTATGGCCTGTATCTGAATCTCCATCTATCACTGACCTGAGCCAACAGAGCATTATGGCCTGTATCTGAATCTCCATCTATCACTGACCTGAGCCAACAGAGCATTATGGCCTGTATCTGAATCTCCATCTATCACTGACCTGAGCCAACAGAGCATTATGGCCTGTATCTGAATCTCCATCTATCACTGACCTGAGCCAACAGAGCATTATGGCCTGTATCTGAATCTCCATCTATCACTGACCTGAGCCAACAGAGCATTATGGCCTGTATCTGAATCTCCATCTATCACTGACCTGAGCCAACAGAGCATTATGGCCTGTATCTGAATCTCCATCTATCACTGACCTGAGCCAACAGAGCATTATGGCCTGTATCTGAATCTCCATCTATCACTGACCTGAGCCAACAGAGCATTATGGCCTGTATCTGAATCTCCATCTATCACTGACCTGAGCCAACAGAGCATTATGGCCTGTATCTGAATCTCCATCTATCACTGACCTGAGCCAACAGAGCATTATGGCCTGTATCTGAATCTCCATCTATCACTGACCTGAGCCAACAGAGCATTATGGCCTGTATCTGAATCTCCATCTATCACTGACCTGAGCCAACAGAGCATTATGGCCTGTATCTGAATCTCCATCTATCACTGACCTGAGCCAACAGAGCATTATGGCCTGTATCTGAATCTCCATCTATCACTGACCTGAGCCAACAGAGCATTATGGCCTGTATCTGAATCTCCATCTATCACTGACCTGAGCCAACAGAGCATTATGGCCTGTATCTGAATCTCCATCTATCACTGACCTGAGCCAACAGAGCATTATGGCCTGTATCTGAATCTCCATCTATCACTGACCTGAGCCAACAGAGCATTATGGCCTGTATCTGAATCTCCATCTATCACTGACCTGAGCCAACAGAGCATTATGGCCTGTATCTGAATCTCCATCTATCACTGACCTGAGCCAACAGAGCATTATGGCCTGTATCTGAATCTCCATCTATCACTGACCTGAGCCAACAGAGCATTATGGCCTGTATCTGAATCTCCATCTATCACTGACCTGAGCCAACAGAGCATTATGGCCTGTATCTGAATCTCCATCTATCACTGACCTGAGCCAACAGAGCATTATGGCCTGTATCTGAATCTCCATCTATCACTGACCTGAGCCAACAGAGCATTATGGCCTGTATCTGAATCTCCATCTATCACTGACCTGAGCCAACAGAGCATTATGGCCTGTATCTGAATCTCCATCTATCACTGACCTGAGCCAACAGAGCATTATGGCCTGTATCTGAATCTCCATCTATCACTGACCTGAGCCAACAGAGCATTATGGCCTGTATCTGAATCTCCATCTATCACTGACCTGAGCCAACAGAGCATTATGGCCTGTATCTGAATCTCCATCTATCACTGACCTGAGCCAACAGAGCATTATGGCCTGTATCTGAATCTCCATCTATCACTGACCTGAGCCAACAGAGCATTATGGCCTGTATCTGAATCTCCATCTATCACTGACCTGAGCCAACAGAGCATTATGGCCTGTATCTGAATCTCCATCTATCACTGACCTGAGCCAACAGAGCATTATGGCCTGTATCTGAATCTCCATCTATCACTGACCTGAGCCAACAGAGCATTATGGCCTGTATCTGAATCTCCATCTATCACTGACCTGAGCCAACAGAGCATTATGGCCTGTATCTGAATCTCCATCTATCACTGACCTGAGCCAACAGAGCATTATGGCCTGTATCTGAATCTCCATCTATCACTGACCTGAGCCAACAGAGCATTATGGCCTGTATCTGAATCTCCATCTATCACTGACCTGAGCCAACAGAGCATTATGGCCTGTATCTGAATCTCCATCTATCACTGACCTGAGCCAACAGAGCATTATGGCCTGTATCTGAATCTCCATCTATCACTGACCTGAGCCAACAGAGCATTATGGCCTGTATCTGAATCTCCATCTATCACTGACCTGAGCCAACAGAGCATTATGGCCTGTATCTGAATCTCCATCTATCACTGACCTGAGCCAACAGAGCATTATGGCCTGTATCTGAATCTCCATCTATCACTGACCTGAGCCAACAGAGCATTATGGCCTGTATCTGAATCTCCATCTATCACTGACCTGAGCCAACAGAGCATTATGGCCTGTATCTGAATCTCCATCTATCACTGACCTGAGCCAACAGAGCATTATGGCCTGTATCTGAATCTCCATCTATCACTGACCTGAGCCAACAGAGCATTATGGCCTGTATCTGAATCTCCATCTATCACTGACCTGAGCCAACAGAGCATTATGGCCTGTATCTGAATCTCCATCTATCACTGACCTGAGCCAACAGAGCATTATGGCCTGTATCTGAATCTCCATCTATCACTGACCTGAGCCAACAGAGCATTATGGCCTGTATCTGAATCTCCATCTATCACTGACCTGAGCCAACAGAGCATTATGGCCTGTATCTGAATCTCCATCTATCACTGACCTGAGCCAACAGAGCATTATGGCCTGTATCTGAATCTCCATCTATCACTGACCTGAGCCAACAGAGCATTATGGCCTGTATCTGAATCTCCATCTATCACTGACCTGAGCCAACAGAGCATTATGGCCTGTATCTGAATCTCCATCTATCACTGACCTGAGCCAACAGAGCATTATGGCCTGTATCTGAATCTCCATCTATCACTGACCTGAGCCAACAGAGCATTATGGCCTGTATCTGAATCTCCATCTATCACTGACCTGAGCCAACAGAGCATTATGGCCTGTATCTGAATCTCCATCTATCACTGACCTGAGCCAACAGAGCATTATGGCCTGTATCTGAATCTCCATCTATCACTGACCTGAGCCAACAGAGCATTATGGCCTGTATCTGAATCTCCATCTATCACTGACCTGAGCCAACAGAGCATTATGGCCTGTATCTGAATCTCCATCTATCACTGACCTGAGCCAACAGAGCATTATGGCCTGTATCTGAATCTCCATCTATCACTGACCTGAGCCAACAGAGCATTATGGCCTGTATCTGAATCTCCATCTATCACTGACCTGAGCCAACAGAGCATTATGGCCTGTATCTGAATCTCCATCTATCACTGACCTGAGCCAACAGAGCATTATGGCCTGTATCTGAATCTCCATCTATCACTGACCTGAGCCAACAGAGCATTATGGCCTGTATCTGAATCTCCATCTATCACTGACCTGAGCCAACAGAGCATTATGGCCTGTATCTGAATCTCCATCTATCACTGACCTGAGCCAACAGAGCATTATGGCCTGTATCTGAATCTCCATCTATCACTGACCTGAGCCAACAGAGCATTATGGCCTGTATCTGAATCTCCATCTATCACTGACCTGAGCCAACAGAGCATTATGGCCTGTATCTGAATCTCCATCTATCACTGACCTGAGCCAACAGAGCATTATGGCCTGTATCTGAATCTCCATCTATCACTGACCTGAGCCAACAGAGCATTATGGCCTGTATCTGAATCTCCATCTATCACTGACCTGAGCCAACAGAGCATTATGGCCTGTATCTGAATCTCCATCTATCACTGACCTGAGCCAACAGAGCATTATGGCCTGTATCTGAATCTCCATCTATCACTGACCTGAGCCAACAGAGCATTATGGCCTGTATCTGAATCTCCATCTATCACTGACCTGAGCCAACAGAGCATTATGGCCTGTATCTGAATCTCCATCTATCACTGACCTGAGCCAACAGAGCATTATGGCCTGTATCTGAATCTCCATCTATCACTGACCTGAGCCAACAGAGCATTATGGCCTGTATCTGAATCTCCATCTATCACTGACCTGAGCCAACAGAGCATTATGGCCTGTATCTGAATCTCCATCTATCACTGACCTGAGCCAACAGAGCATTATGGCCTGTATCTGAATCTCCATCTATCACTGACCTGAGCCAACAGAGCATTATGGCCTGTATCTGAATCTCCATCTATCACTGACCTGAGCCAACAGAGCATTATGGCCTGTATCTGAATCTCCATCTATCACTGACCTGAGCCAACAGAGCATTATGGCCTGTATCTGAATCTCCATCTATCACTGACCTGAGCCAACAGAGCATTATGGCCTGTATCTGAATCTCCATCTATCACTGACCTGAGCCAACAGAGCATTATGGCCTGTATCTGAATCTCCATCTATCACTGACCTGAGCCAACAGAGCATTATGGCCTGTATCTGAATCTCCATCTATCACTGACCTGAGCCAACAGAGCATTATGGCCTGTATCTGAATCTCCATCTATCACTGACCTGAGCCAACAGAGCATTATGGCCTGTATCTGAATCTCCATCTATCACTGACCTGAGCCAACAGAGCATTATGGCCTGTATCTGAATCTCCATCTATCACTGACCTGAGCCAACAGAGCATTATGGCCTGTATCTGAATCTCCATCTATCACTGACCTGAGCCAACAGAGCATTATGGTCTGTATCTGAATCTCCATCTATCACTGACCTGAGCCAACAGAGCATTATGGCCTGTATCTGAATCTCCATCTATCACTGACCTGAGCCAACAGAGCATTATGGTCTGTATCTGAATCTCCATCTATCACTGACCTGAGCCAACAGAGCATTATGGCCTGTATCTGAATCTCCATCTATCACTGACCTGAGCCAACAGAGCATTATGGCCTGTATCTGAATCTCCATCTATCACTGACCTGAGCCAACAGAGCATTATGGCCTGTATCTGAATCTCCATCTATCACTGACCTGAGCCAACAGAGCATTATGGCCTGTATCTGAATCTCCATCTATCACTGACCTGCTGCCAACAGAGCATTATGGCCTGTATCTGAATCTCCATCTATCACTGACCTGAGCCAACAGAGCATTATGGCCTGTATCTGAATCTCCATCTATCACTGACCTGAGCCAACAGAGCATTATGGCCTGTATCTGAATCTCCATCTATCACTGACCTGAGCCAACAGAGCATTATGGCCTGTATCTGAATCTCCATCTATCACTGACCTGCTGCCAACAGAGCATTATGGCCTGTATCTGAATCTCCATCTATCACTGACCTGAGCCAACAGAGCATTATGGCCTGTATCTGAATCTCCATCTATCACTGACCTGAGCCAACAGAGCATTATGGCCTGTATCTGAATCTCCATCTATCATTGACCTGAGCCAACAGAGCATTATGGCCTGTATCTGAATCTCCATCTATCACTGACCTGAGCCAACAGAGCATTATGGCCTGTATCTGAATCTCCATCTATCACTGACCTGAGCCAACAGAGCATTATGGCCTGTATCTGAATCTCCATCTATCACTGACCTGAGCCAACAGAGCATTATGGCCTGTATCTGAATCTCCATCTATCACTGACCTGAGCCAACAGAGCATTATGGCCTGTATCTGAATCGCCATCTATCACTGACCTGAGCCAACAGAGCATTATGGCCTGTATCTGAATCTCCATCTATCACTGACCTGAGCCAACAGAGCATTATGGCCTGTATCTGAATCTCCATCTATCACTGACCTGAGCCAACAGAGCATTATGGCCTGTATCTGAATCTCCATCTATCACTGACCTGAGCCAACAGAGCATTATGGCCTGTATCTGAATCTCCATCTATCACTGACCTGAGCCAACAGAGCATTATGGTCTGTATCTGAATCTCCATCTATCACTGACCTGAGCCAACAGAGCATTATGGCCTGTATCTGAATCTCCATCTATCACTGACCTGAGCCAACAGAGCATTATGGCCTGTATCTGAATCTCCATCTATCACTGACCTGAGCCAACAGAGCATTATGGTCTGTATCTGAATCTCCATCTATCACTGACCTGAGCCAACAGAGCATTATGGCCTGTATCTGAATCTCCATCTATCACTGACCTGAGCCAACAGAGCATTATGGCCTGTATCTGAATCTCCATCTATCATTGACCTGAGCCAACAGAGCATTATGGCCTGTATCTGAATCTCCATCTATCACTGACCTGAGCCAACAGAGCATTATGGCCTGTATCTGAATCTCCATCTATCACTGACCTGAGCCAACAGAGCATTATGGCCTGTATCTGAATCTCCATCTATCACTGACCTGAGCCAACAGAGCATTATGGCCTGTATCTGAATCTCCATCTATCACTGACCTGAGCCAACAGAGCATTATGGCCTGTATCTGAATCTCCATCTATCACTGACCTGAGCCAACAGAGCATTATGGCCTGTATCTGAATCTCCATCTATCACTGACCTGAGCCAACAGAGCATTATGGCCTGTATCTGAATCTCCATCTATCACTGACCTGAGCCAACAGAGCATTATGGTCTGTATCTGAATCTCCATCTATCACTGACCTGAGCCAACAGAGCATTATGGCCTGTATCTGAATCTCCATCTATCACTGACCTGAGCCAACAGAGCATTATGGCCTGTATCTGAATCTCCATCTATCACTGACCTGAGCCAACAGAGCATTATGGCCTGTATCTGAATCTCCATCTATCACTGACCTGAGCCAACAGAGCATTATGGCCTGTATCTGAATCTCCATCTATCACTGACCTGAGCCAACAGAGCATTATGGCCTGTATCTGAATCTCCATCTATCACTGACCTGAGCCAACAGAGCATTATGGCCTGTATCTGAATCTCCATCTATCACTGACCTGAGCCAACAGAGCATTATGGCCTGTATCTGAATCTCCATCTATCACTGACCTGAGCCAACAGAGCATTATGGCCTGTATCTGAATCTCCATCTATCACTGACCTGAGCCAACAGAGCATTATGGTCTGTATCTGAATCTCCATCTATCACTGACCTGAGCCAACAGAGCATTATGGCCTGTATCTGAATCTCCATCTATCACTGACCTGAGCCAACAGAGCATTATGGTCTGTATCTGAATCTCCATCTATCACTGACCTGAGCCAACAGAGCATTATGGCCTGTATCTGAATCTCCATCTATCACTGACCTGAGCCAACAGAGCATTATGGCCTGTATCTGAATCTCCATCTATCACTGACCTGAGCCAACAGAGCATTATGGCCTGTATCTGAATCTCCATCTATCACTGACCTGAGCCAACAGAGCATTATGGCCTGTATCTGAATCTCCATCTATCACTGACCTGCTGCCAACAGAGCATTATGGCCTGTATCTGAATCTCCATCTATCACTGACCTGAGCCAACAGAGCATTATGGCCTGTATCTGAATCTCCATCTATCACTGACCTGAGCCAACAGAGCATTATGGCCTGTATCTGAATCTCCATCTATCACTGACCTGAGCCAACAGAGCATTATGGCCTGTATCTGAATCTCCATCTATCACTGACCTGCTGCCAACAGAGCATTATGGCCTGTATCTGAATCTCCATCTATCACTGACCTGAGCCAACAGAGCATTATGGCCTGTATCTGAATCTCCATCTATCACTGACCTGAGCCAACAGAGCATTATGGCCTGTATCTGAATCTCCATCTATCATTGACCTGAGCCAACAGAGCATTATGGCCTGTATCTGAATCTCCATCTATCACTGACCTGAGCCAACAGAGCATTATGGCCTGTATCTGAATCTCCATCTATCACTGACCTGAGCCAACAGAGCATTATGGCCTGTATCTGAATCTCCATCTATCACTGACCTGAGCCAACAGAGCATTATGGCCTGTATCTGAATCTCCATCTATCACTGACCTGAGCCAACAGAGCATTATGGCCTGTATCTGAATCGCCATCTATCACTGACCTGAGCCAACAGAGCATTATGGCCTGTATCTGAATCTCCATCTATCACTGACCTGAGCCAACAGAGCATTATGGCCTGTATCTGAATCTCCATCTATCACTGACCTGAGCCAACAGAGCATTATGGCCTGTATCTGAATCTCCATCTATCACTGACCTGAGCCAACAGAGCATTATGGTCTGTATCTGAATCTCCATCTATCACTGACCTGAGCCAACAGAGCATTATGGCCTGTATCTGAATCTCCATCTATCATTGACCTGAGCCAACAGAGCATTATGGCCTGTATCTGAATCTCCATCTATCACTGACCTGAGCCAACAGAGCATTATGGCCTGTATCTGAATCTCCATCTATCATTGACCTGAGCCAACAGAGCATTATGGCCTGTATCTGAATCTCCATCTATCACTGACCTGAGCCAACAGAGCATTATGGCCTGTGTCTGAATCTCCATCTATCACTGACCTGAGCCAACAGAGCATTATGGCCTGTATCTGAATCTCCATCTATCACTGACCTGAGCCAACAGAGCATTATGGCCTGTGTCTGAATCTCCATCTATCACTGACCTGAGCCAACAGAGCATTATGGCCTGTATCTGAATCTCCATCTATCACTGACCTGAGCCAACAGAGCATTATGGCCTGTGTCTGAATCTCCATCTATCACTGACCTGAGCCAACAGAGCATTATGGTCTGTATCTGAATCTCCATCTATCACTGACCTGAGCCAACAGAGCATTATGGCCTGTATCTGAATCTCCATCTATCACTGACCTGAGCCAACAGAGCATTATGGCCTGTATCTGAATCTCCATCTATCACTGACCTGAGCCAACAGAGCATTATGGCCTGTATCTGAATCTCCATCTATCACTGACCTGAGCCAACAGAGCATTATGGCCTGTATCTGAATCTCCATCTATCACTGACCTGAGCCAACAGAGCATTATGGCCTGTATCTGAATCTCCATCTATCACTGACCTGAGCCAACAGAGCATTATGGCCTGTATCTGAATCTCCATCTATCACTGACCTGAGCCAACAGAGCATTATGGCCTGTATCTGAATCTCCATCTATCACTGACCTGAGCCAACAGAGCATTATGGTCTGTATCTGAATCTCCATCTATCACTGACCTGAGCCAACAGAGCATTATGGCCTGTATCTGAATCTCCATCTATCACTGACCTGAGCCAACAGAGCATTATGGTCTGTATCTGAATCTCCATCTATCACTGACCTGAGCCAACAGAGCATTATGGCCTGTATCTGAATCTCCATCTATCACTTACCTGAGCCAACAGAGCATTATGGCCTGTATCTGAATCTCCATCTATCACTGACCTGAGCCAACAGAGCATTATGGCCTGTATCTGAATCTCCATCTATCACTGACCTGAGCCAACAGAGCATTATGGCCTGTATCTGAATCTCCATCTATCACTGACCTGAGCCAACAGAGCATTATGGCCTGTATCTGAATCTCCATCTATCACTGACCTGAGCCAACAGAGCATTATGGTCTGTATCTGAATCTCCATCTATCACTGACCTGAGCCAACAGAGCATTATGGCCTGTATCTGAATCTCCATCTATCACTGACCTGCTGCCAACAGAGCATTATGGTCTGTATCTGAATCTCCATCTATCACTGACCTGAGCCAACAGAGCATTATGGCCTGTATCTGAATCTCCATCTATCACTGACCTGCTGCCAACAGAGCATTATGGTCTGTATCTGAATCCAGAGTTGACTATTAGTTAATAACTTACACTCATAACTATTTGCTGTTAATTCAGGTTTCTTTACTAAAATATTTCTATAACAATTTGTTACCAGGGTAAGGCCAGGAGGAGATGCCAGCCCTAAGCCCTTCTGGAGACCGTAAGTAACACATGGGGCCAGCGTAGCCTCCTCAGATGTGTGGCCTGGAGAATCCGGCCTTTTTGTTGTCTGGCCCTGTTTCTGGACATCACTAAATTGATATAACAACAATCTTTTAAATCTAGGCTCAAAACAATTCTGTTTAGCTGCGCATATATAACTGAATGATTTTATCTTTTCATCTTTGTTTTTATCTTTAATCTTTTTAATGCACTGTGACTATTTATGATTTTAGTCCCATCTGTGATTTTAATGTTTAAAGGTTTTTAATTTTTGTGATTTTATTTTTAATGTTTTTAATATATCTTGTGCTCTTAATGTGTTTGATTTATGCATGATGTGTGATGCATTTATGCATGATGTGATCAATCAATCAATCAAACGTTGATTGATTGATTGATTACCAGGGTAAGGCCAGGAGGAGATGCCAGCCCTAAGCCCTGCTGGAGACCGTAAGTAACACATGGCGTCAGCGTAGCCTCCTGTCTGTTACATGTGGGAGGTGGTACTTTTTATACATTTTATTTGTAATGGCCTTTTCGTTTGACAACAAATAAAGATAAGTCACACACGGGGCCAGAGGGACTGTACTGTATTTGTTTCCAGGTGACACAGCCGCAGCTGCCACCCTCCCTTCCAGTCGTGCACCATGTGCACAATGCCAGAGGCTAAAGGAGGAACTGGCCATCACCAAGAAGTTTTTGGCTTGCCAAATTGAGGAGAACAAGAATTTAAAAAAAATGTGTAGTGCAGAAATCCAAAAAGAGGTGAGGATGAATATTGTCCCATCAGGTCATTTAATGTTTTGGCAAGTTTCACCGGCAAGAACCATGTTACAACGAATAGTAGATTATGAATGTAGAATCTGAGGGAATGATTCGACGCTGGGTGTGGGTGTCACCTCGGTCGGGTACCCAGCAGAGTACCCCTAACCTCT